TGTATGTAGTTGAGTATGTTGCAAGTGTTTTATGGCTTGGTCTAAGGTTTTGTACTTCTTTCTTGTGTGTTTAGACTAGTTCACTTTTTTCAAGAAAATTACCCAAAAAGGAAATTTTTTGAAAAAAGGAGGATCAGCGGAAAGAGTTTTTTTTTATTGTAATTAAAAATAATAAAACTTTTTGTAAATATCTATTTTATATAATATATAATTAAAAAATTAGTAAAAAAATATTTTTTATTTTTTTTTTCTTTTTTTTTGTTCTAAATCAGGCTAGATATGTGTACTTTATTAAATATTTGGATACTTTATATTATTAAATATTTTGCTAAAGCTAAATTTCTATCTAATTCACTTATCTCTATTTTAAATTTCTTAAAACTCTAAGTACAACTCTATAAGTAATTTATTACTTCATTAGTAGTTTAAGTATGAACCCTTCCAACTGTCAACTTTATTATCTGCAAGTTACTATTATAGATCACTCTTTGTGTTCTGACTGAGCTTAAAATCTCAACCACTTTATTTTGTACTTCATTCTTTTTATAAGAATCTTCTTGAGGCTTCTATCTTCTAGTTTTCCTTTTTTTAATAATAGTTCTTTTCTTGTTAAGGATATAATTTTTTGGCTTAAAAAGTATAGAGTCTTCTTGTCTTGTCTTTTCTACTAATCCCTAAGTTTGTTTCCATTTAATAATCTTTTATCATCCTGTGTTTCAAATTCTTTTTTGAACTTGATTGTAAACTCTTTTTTGCATCTTTATTATCTATTTTTTAGTTTCTTTTTCTATACGTTTATCATTATATTTTGATCTGTCATTTCTAGAATAAGGTCCTTTTTTATGAGTCTAACACAAAAACTTAGAGTATCTTAACTAGTTGTAGAAGTCTGTTCTACTTGTCAAACTCTCCTAGTTCTTTCTAATTATTAATATTTTGTTTATTACTTTTTTTCTTGGCCTCTTTTCTTTTTTCTTATAGAAGCTGTTTAAAGTTTCTGAGAGTTCCATCTATTCCTTTATTCCATGCTTCTTAAAGTTGATTCTTATAGGTTGAACATTTTAGCAAATGTTCTGTTATTTCATTCTGTTGACTATATGCAATATACTTCATTTACTTATATACTATAAATCAGGTCTTCTTATAGCCAATTTATATAATATTGGTAGTTTATTATTGGTCAGTTTGTTGAGAAAGCTTATTTTGTAAGATTTTTTAAAGAATATATTTCATGTATAACCATCTTTTATTATTTCTCACACTAAATTTCATGTATAGTTTTGCTGTTTTAAGATCTGATGACTCTATTTTTTCTCTATTCAATTTTGCTAAGTCCACTAATAGGTTATTGATTTTTTATTCATATTTTTGATAAACTGTCTAATTGGATTATATAAGGTTATGTTTTATCATCTGATCTTATAATAATCTTATCGAAATTAAGATATCTCCATTTGATTAGTAGGAGTTTTAGGGTTTCTTTGGCTAAGACATTTGCTTCTTTATTATAAGGATTATTGAAATGACTTTGACTTTTATAAGCTTCAGGCTTATTGTTTTTTTCTTTGTTAGTTTTACCATTTATATCCATAGAAACCGATTTTTTTCTTTTAGCCATCTCTTATATGTTCTTTTCAGATTCTCTTTTTTCATTTTCTTCCATTTAGTAATACAAGCTTGACTATCTGTACAAATCTCAACTGTACTATTAATGTAAACTACTAGGAGTATAATTAGGATTGTTATCAACTCAGATCTTGTAAAAAAAAGTCAATTATCTACTCCTGTTTAAAATCTACTTTCTCTTATAATATTTCTTATTTGAATCTACACAGTACCCATTTTTATTTCTTCTTTGCCATGATTGATTAGTGATCTATTAGAATAAAAGGATAGCTTTTCTTTAGATCCTAGATTGCATTGAAGTATTTCTATTAACTGATTTAGATATACTTCTTCTTTAATAGTTTCTTTTATTATAGTTTTTTCCCAAGTTTTAATATCTATATGGTCTACTTTGCTGTTTTAAGAAAAAGTATTGAAGGGTACTAATCTTTATAAATTACTTTTTTTTTTTTTTTTTAACTGCGAACAGAGCAATAGATGCAGAACTTTATTAATTATAAAAATATTTATATAATTATGGTCGTTTGACCAAGGTTACATCAAATATCGATATCTAGTACTAGAGTACAAATATTCACTTAGACGCAGGTACTCACGCATTTTTTCAGTGATTAAAGAGGCCTATTAAATGGGTGAGGATGGACAGCGATTGCTCTATCCATAAACAGTGAAGAATTTTGAGGGGATGGATTGTTAAATTGAGTAATTTTGTTAATATATATAGTTGTTGTTTTATTGATGCATTGTATTGGGTTGGATCTTGTGAAGCAGTCTAAAAGGAGAGTAGTAGGTGGAAATCTTTTCTTATTGGATTGTTTTTGCTGAGGATAGGGAGTGGTTCTCTTCTAGTATATCCCTGTTACAGGGGAGGTATTAGCAGTTGCTGATCTGGAGATCCAGATGTATTTGAAAATAATCTTTAAAACCTTTGCTGCAATTGTGCCTTTGTGCTTTACTGAAAGATCTGGGATTGGAGATATAATACCTATTGCCCAGTTTAGTAGGAGGGGTCCAGAGATTAAAAGGTTACTTATTATATCATTGAGGTCAGTCTTGGATTGAATGCTATCACTTTTGTTAATAAGTTCTAGGATAAGCTTAATGATGCTTTTGCTTTTTTCCTTGATTATTGAAAAGTTTGACAGACAGGAGAATATATGTTCAAAGGATTCAGAGGTAGAATTGCAATGGAGGCATGTGCTGCTAGGATAGACCTGGGGGTATCGAGTATTCAATTTTACTCTGGTTGGAAGGTTGCGACAGAGAATATTTATTCTAAAAGTAAGTATAGCTGAAAGTTTAAATTTTTCATTTGTGATTAGTTGCTTGTGTTGCTCAACAATAATTGAGTCCAATTTATATAGAGGTCTGTCTATCCAAGATTTGAGTGATCTAACATGTAGTTGTCTTTTAGTTTTGATTATGGTCTTTATCCAAGTAACGGCATTAGAGAAGGGAATATTAGAAATAGAAGGGGTTGTTGAAAAGGTTGGGTGCTTCCAATCAAGAGTCTTAGTAGTATTACTTGAGAGGGCTGTTACTTTCTGTTGGTTGAAGGTAATGTTGAGATTTTTATGTTTAATAAGGTATGTGATATCAGACTTGTATTGGCTATAAGTTTGTTTGATTCGTCTATTAATATATGAGGGGGTCGTAAGGTTAGGGGTCTCTGGAAGGGTTATAGATAAGGTTGCATTAGGTTGGACATTGGTGTAAATATATTTAAGTGCTAAAAGAAAAGCTAGAGATTTGTCTTCGATGGGTTTGAAGTGTTCTATAAAGGTTCCTATAATATTTATTATGTGAGAAGAGATTGTTACAGTCCATATGGGAGAGGAGAAGAGAGATGTCGGATAATTTGGAATTAGTATTGAAGGGATTGGTAAGGGAATTGTATCTATAAGTATGTTAATTATTTCGTTAATTGGATTGAGAATTGTTAATTTGCCTTTGCGTTTAACCCAGATTGATAATGTTTTAGTTTGAGGGGGAATAGAAATTTCAGTGTCTGATTGTGTAATAATGTTGTTATTTCTATAGTAAAGGTGGCCTGTAATTGCCGTTTCAGATTTGTAAGCAACTTTTTTAACAATTTTAAGAGAGAGGTTTTCTATAAAGGCAAAGAAGAGATTTTCAGGGCAAGGAATGGCAGAAGATGTTTCTTTTAGGCTGGGAGGGAACTTGATATCTTGGAACTATTTTGATGCTTTTCTAATATTGCCCTCATTATTGATTGATTTTCCTCTAGTAACAAGCTGGGACCATTCAAGTCGGAGGGTTGAATTTTTTACTAGGATGTCTTCAAGGGTCTTGATATCCAATTGTGCAGCTTTCAGAGCATTTGGAATGTTAATTTGTGAGTGCAGTTCTATGGAGAGGTTGCTTTTGTGAAGCTCCAATGGGCAGTCGACGGGGCAAATATTGATTTGGTATTTTTTGGCTATATTGGCTGCTACGAGTAGCCAGCTGTTGTTTTTAAAGAAGTTGGGTTGGTGTAAAGGGCATTTCCAGATTGCTATTAATTGTTGAATGGAAATTGCTACGTTTAACGTTGTCTCTCTTGTGACTGGATTATTTAGTCTTATCAGAAGTAGTTTGGTGAGAGTAATTTCTTGTCTATCCTCTACTCCTACTAAGTTTAGGCCCAAGGGGGAGAGAATTATAGGATCTGGGGTAATTTTTTCAAGTCTGTATTTGTTTTTACAAATTCTATTTAGGTACTTCTGCATGATAGAGAGATTGGTTTTATTGAGAAAAGAAATATGAAAGGCATATTTCACTTTTGCAGGTATGATCCATTGGGCAACTTGTTTAGCTATTGGTCTGTTCCATCCTTTCGTTTGAATAATGGCTTTGGAAATTTCTGATGTGTCTGAAATTAGTTGATTTATTGTAGCTAAAGAAGAGTTGAAACTGGAGAAGTAACATTCTAGATATCTCAAAGAATCTTTGTAATTTAAAACATGTAGGTCAGTTCCTAATAACTTAAAAGTGAGGTTTCTTTTAAGACTTGTTCTTGTATCTGTATAAATCATTTTGGTCTTTTCCATGTTACATTTAATTCTATTCATTTTTAAGAAATTGACAAAAGTGTTCATATCTTTCTGTAACTTCTCGTGTTTACTACCCATTAGGACTAAATCATCCATATATGCGAGGACATTGTATTTGATTTCCGGGGAGGGATGGAGCAGTTTGGCTATTAAGAGATCATAGAAAATTATCCACCAGAGGGGAGCTAGTATTTCACCTTGTTCTATACCATTATTGATTTGAAATTTTCCAGTAGAGAAACTGTTAAGATTGACTTCTGTAGTTCTGTTAGATAGAAGTTTCATGGTGATGTTTTTGAATTTGTTGGAGAGTTTTATTCTTGACATGGCCTTGTCAAGACTGGTGAGTGGTACAGAATCAAAAGCTTTTGCAATGTCGAATGATACTATCCAAATATGTTTACTAGTATTTTTGGCTTGATTTATTGTTAATGACATTATTGATAGTGGCTCAAATGTGCTTTGATCAGGAAGACCGGCAAAGTTAGCTTTCAAAAGAATATTATTGTCTTTGATTATTTTTGCGAACCTAGTATTAATCATCTTGGTGAATATTTTCCTTCCTGAATCTAGAAGTGTAATAGGTTTAGTGTCGGCAATATTATGAGACCAAATTAGCTTTTTGGACAGGAGGCAGATGTTTGCTTCCTTCCATTTATCAGGGATTTGTTCAGTGTTGTAAATATGGTTAAGAGCTTCTAGAACTGTTGGTTTGATTTCAGTTGAGAGGAATTTCCAGGCTTCATAGGGAATACCAGAGGGACCAGGTATCTTGTTGTTGGATAGTTGTTCTAGGGTATGATTTAATTTGTTTATCGTGAAGTTTGTAGTAGTAGAGTTGTAAAGGTTAGGGTCAGTCAGGAGATTTTCATATGTTTCTTTCCATTCTTCAGGCAATATGAACTGCCTTTTCTTCAGAGTTTCCTTGAAGTGATTTAAAACTATAGTCTTGATTTCTTCAATATCATCTGTGATAATATTATTCTTATTTCTGAGCTGAAAGAGGTCTAGTTGGGGTTTCAGGTTGCCGAGAAATACTTTAATCACTTGTTTTGGTTTTTCCCAAAATTTTAATAGATTACGTTCGGTATTTTTCTTCACTTGAGTCAGGTTCCATTCTTTGGTTTTGTTGATAATCTCCCCTTTCAGTTTTTTAGTAATGCATTGGATTCCTTTAAGAAAGATGCTGTGGGTATTATTCACTTGGAAGTAAAGATTTTTAACATCTTTGCTGATGAAGTGGCCAGTTTTACGTGTTTTGAGGAGGGATCTGATCAGTTTTTTGAAATGAACTGTCCCAGGAATGGAGGTTTTTCGTGGAGTGAAAGCCTTAATCTTGGGTATATTGTTCGATAGAGAATTCTTAATGGTTTCCATAATATATGACCATGTAGGATTATTATAAGGGCTGAGAGTAATGTCAATTTCTTCAGAGAATTTCCTTATATTCTCAGGGGATGCTTTTTTAAAGTCAAAAATTCTGTTTTATTTGTTTAGTCTGATTGTATATTCAAACCAGCTTAGGGTAATCTTGAGCATTTTATGATCGATTAGAATAGGAGCTGGAAAGGATCTGTAATCGAGAATTTTGTTGGTAAGGTGATGGGAAATCCATATTTGGTCAATTCTGGATGCACTCATAGAGGTTGAGTAAGTGTAATCGGAGTTGTAACCAAGGGCTTCAGCTATATCCACCCAGGATCATAAGTAATCGTATATGTGTCTTTTTGCTTTAGATGTTATGGCATTAATATGCAGGGTCTCTTTTGTGTACATGTTAAAGTCACTAGCTAGGATTTGCATCAGATTTTTGGATTGGTTCAGTAGGATAAAGCATTTTAATGAGTTAACTGCTGTTTTCCTTTTGCTGCTATCATGGGGGATGTAGCAAGCTATAACTATTAGGTTGATCTTTGGTTTGAATTTGAGATGTACTGCTGTCCAGTATTGGGTGGTTGTGGTGATTTTAAAGATATGTGGTTTCAGGTCTTTGCCTATAAGTATGGCAACACCATTTTTGGAAGTCGTGTTTAGTATACTGCTGATAATTTTAATGTTGTTGATTTTTTTCAAAAAAGTTTTCATGGTCGATTGTTTTATTTCAGAGCAGCAGATTAGTTCTCTATTACCTATTGAAGAGCTTAGATAAGTTAGTTTGGCTAAATCATCATTGCCTTGGATGTTTAGGGTAGTTATATTTATTAAGTTTTAGAGCTTGTTAGGTCTTGTTACAGGAGGGTTTATTGAGGGTTGTAGGAGATTATTAGGCATTAGAATAGTGTTTGATATTGGAAGTTGTATGGGACTAGTGATTGAGGGTTATATGATTGAAGTTGTATACTCATTACTTAAGGAATGACTCAGATTTTCGTCCTTATGTATGGATATAGGTATTGTGTTAGAGCAATTTGTGACTTCGAAGGAATGACTAAGGTTTGAATCTATTTCTCTATTCATATTAATAGAAATTTGGTATCAGGGCTACATCAGGTTCTGGTAGCTCTGTCTCTACAATAAAGTTTTGAGGGAGTTTGTCGAAATAGAAGTATTGTTTGAGAGTAGAAATATTTGTCGATAAATCTATGTCGTCCTTGAGAAGTAGTTGAAGGGTAATGTTTTTTTGTTTGAGATATTCTGAGGTTGCTTCAAGTGTGGATAAGTCAGGAAGGAGAGGAGTGATCCACTCCCGGGGGACGGGACCACGATAGAGAGATTTGATGGTTTGGATGGTTTCTTGGAACTTTGGACTTTCTCTGTGGAGTGCTTGTTGTGTAATGTTCAGTTTATCTGCTACTTCGTTGAAATCCTTTGGCATTATGGAATGATCAGATTGAGCTAGTGATGGGTCAATCTATTCAGGACCAAGGGGGAGCCTAAACTTGTATCTGGGATGGAGTTGTTAGAGCAACTCCATTACCAGCTTCTGATCTTTAATCGGAAGGCTCATTCCGGTATTTTTGCTGTGCCAATGGGGTTGAGGGAAGGGAAGTTTCTGGATGAAGTAATCGTTAAGGAGGAATCTGACTGCGAAGTTGTTGTCTCGTAGTTCTTTTATAGCTGCTTTTATTGTATGGGGTTCATTGGTAATTGAGAACATCATTGCTAGTTCTTGCAATAGCATTTGGTAGGTGTCAGGTAATGGCTTCTTGGGTGGGGACAGGTCAAAGTAGCTCTCAGGAAGCTTGTTGGGAACATAAAAGCTGTCACGGAGCTCTCTGAGTATTAAGCCGAGGGATTTAAGCTTTTTCCGTTCTCTAATGGGAAAAATTTCATGCCATTTTTCTGGGAGTTTGGCGGGATCGCTGGGAATATCAGGAAGTTTTACGAAGTAGTTGGTAGGCAAGAGATCAAAGTTGTAGAAACTTCTTAAAGCATTCACCATAGGGCCTGTTTGACTTGGAAATTGGATCAGTAGGGCATGTGAGAGCTTGATTTTTATATTTGTTGGAACTTTGCTTAGATTTTCTGGTGGATTAGGAAGATTATCTTTGATTATTCTTTCCGTTGCTTGTAGAAGTTTTTTGTAGTTTACTTTTTCTTTCGTTGGATCCATAAAGAAGTTGAAGCCATACTCTAAAAGTTCAGCCACTTGCCAGAATTTGAATGTGGAAAAATCGTAGGTTCGAAGGAATGTTGCGAAAATAAATGTGTTTAAAATGGTGCGGATTTTCTTTTTTGTTGTTCAATTAATGTATCCAATATTATGCTTCTTCATATAATTGTTGTGAAATTCTTTTTCGATTGTTTCATATTCCACTTGATGTTTTCCTTTGATGGTTTCAGTTTTTGCGAAGGATCGAAAAAAGGCTCTATCGCGATGCTCAATTTTTGTAAGAAGGGCTTTGGTGGTATTTGGTAAAGAAATTCGGGGAAGAGTTTTAAGCTTGATAAACAAAGACACTATAGTTTCTGGCTCTCTTTCGCAAGATAAGATGCTATCGTAGAATTCTTTGATAGCTTCTTGCTTGGTTATTGGTAAGTTCTCTTGAGCTGGAAGACTCTCTTCTATTGACTGGTCCTCTGGTGGTTGTGTGCCTGAAGTGGAGGGATGCACGTTGATTCCTGAAGCTTGTTGAGTTTTGTCACTGTCCACTTGATCTGCCCATGATTGGGTGCTGATCGCATCATCGGAGGGGTTTGTTATATTATTCGTGTCATGTTTATCTATTTCTATTTCAGGCTGGTCTATGGGGTCTGTGTTATGAGGGTGACTTGTTTGTTGATTCACATTGGGGGGATTGTTTCCTTGAGAATTTTCCATTGTACAGGGAGGATCGTCTTGTGCTACTGGAGTATTGGGAGGGGGGCCGGTGTTTCCTTTTTTTTGAGAGAGAAGGTACCAAGATTGTCATCAGTGAAGATGGAGATTCGGTTCCAAGGCCAATGTAGCTTGTAATTTAGGGTATTTTTGACTACTTCCCGAATGGCAAGTTCTTTATCATCTTTTTCAAGGTGGAATCCTATTTGATGGTTCATGAAGATGTTTAATGTTTCGATGTCAAGGTGCTTCATTTTCTGGGTGGAGACATGAAGAGAGGGGGAAGATACTTTTGTATGTTTTTTAGTGAAGCTAACTAGGACGACATCTAGGTCACCAGAGTTGATTATGCAGGTGGGGATGAGCCATTATTCAGGGCAGTTTAGGAGAAATGGGATGGTAGTTTTGTTGGCAGGCTTTGTTAGAAAAACTTTTGAAGTTGTAGTTTGCTTATATACTATTGAGACTTTTGGGGTCGAGACATCTGAAAGGACAATGTCTAGTATTGTAAACTTATCTCGAGACTTGGAAGAACTCCTGGGAGGAGCCCCAGTCGCTTTGGCTTTGTTTCTAGTTAAAATTTTGTTTTATTATCTTATAAGGAAAATTTTTACGGTTGAGAATTTTTGTGGAAAGAGTTTTTTTTTCCTTTATAAATTACTTTTATAATTATGTTCTCGAGTTTTGTCTTAGAATTAGAGATTTTCAATTCTCCTATTCTTTTAGTAGATATTTTTTTATTAAGATAAGATATTGTATAGATTCCTTCTTTATCTCTTTTTATAATGCAACTATTGTTTTATATTGTTCCTTTTGAGCA